TTATATCAGGGTCTATATCAGGGGTTATATCAGGGTCTATATCAGGGTTTATATCAGGGTCTATATCAGGGTCTATATCAGGGTCTATATCAGGGTCTATATCAGGGGTTATATCAGGGGTTATATCAGGGGTTATATCAGGGGTTATATCAGGGGTTATACCAGAAACAGGGGGTTAGGGGGTTAAATCAGGGGTTAAATCAGAAAATGGGAGGTTAGCATACTGGGGGAAAACAGGGGGGTTAGCATACTGGGGGAAATATCAGGGTTTATATCAGAAACAGGGCAGGAACTAGCTTTAAAAATGCTCTTTCCAAAAGAAAAGACACTTTTTACTGCTTCTCTCTGCAAGTTTTAGACTGTTTTTTATTAAAAAAAGAAAGTTTTTTTCCTTCAGTTGTTAGATAAAATTCAAGAAAGGACAGAAAAAATGATAAAAGACGCCTTTTCCTGCTTCTGTCTGCAAGTTTTAGACTGTTTTATATTAGAAAAGGGACCGAAATTCACTTTAAAACAGTTTTTTTCCTTCAGTTGCTGAAGACATATTCGATAAGAGCAGAAAAATGTTGGAAAAGACAGTCTTTCCTGCTTCTGTCTGCAGATTTTAGACTGTTTTTGATTAAAAAAAGAAAATATTTTCGCTTTAAAACTGTTTTTTTACTTCAATTGCAGGAGAAAAAGTTAGAAAAGACTCTTTTCCCTACTTCTATCTGCTAGTTTTACATTGTTCTTTATTAGAAAAGGGACCGAAATTCACTCTAAAATAGCTTTGTTCCTTCAGTTACTGGAGAAAATGCTGTAAAAGACTAGTTTTCCTGCTTCTGTCTGCTGGTTTTACAGCATTTTTATCAGAAAAAGAACATAAATTAACTTTAAAACTGCTTTTTTCCTTCAATTGCAGGAGAAAAAATCAACAGAGGACAGAAAATGTTAGGAAAGACACTTTTACTAGCTTCTGTCTGCTTGTTTGAAACTGTTTTTGATAAGAAAAAGGACAGAAATTAACTTTATAGCAGCTTTTTTATCCGGTTGCCGTGGAGACAACTGGGAGGAATGAGGGAAAGTTCGAGAGAGGAGGAAAGAAAAGACACTTCGCAGCTTCTTTCTGCTCTAGTTGGAAACTTTCCAGATACAAACAAAGCTCATAAGTTAATTTAAACTGGGTTGAAGTTGCTGTAGGTAAAAATCCACTGACTTCCTGCTTCTCTCTGCTAGTTTTAAACTATTTCTGATTAGAAAAAAATAGAGAAATTAACTTTAAACTGCTTTTATCCAGCTGCTGCTCAGACTTCAAGGAGGAATGAGGGGAAATTTGAAGAGAGGAGCAGAGAAAAAGTTAGAAAAGACACTTATCCCTGCAGGTTTTAAACTGTTTCTGATTAGAAAAAGCACAAAAAATAACTTCAAACTGCTTTTTTTCCTCCATTTGCTGAAGAAAAAAGCCACTAACTTTTCTCTTAGTCTACAAACTGAGTCCTGATCCACTGGTCCATTTATCATGCGTCATTTCTGAGTTTATCACCTATTTGTTGTGCATTTGATTAAAAAAAAAGGACAGAAATTAACTTTATAGCAGCCTTTTTCTCCGGTTGCCGTGGAGACGACTCGGAGGAATGAGGGAAAATTCGAGAAAGGAGGACAGAAAATGCACTTTTCCTGCTTCTTTCTGATTCTTTCTGATTATTAATCAGGGGAGAAATCGACTTTAAACAGCTTTTTTCCTCCATTTACTGGAGAAACATTCCAGAGGAGCAGAGAAAAAGTTAGAAAAGACACTTTTCCCAGCTTCTCTCTGCAAGTTTTACACAGTTTTTATTTAAAAAAATGGCAGAAATTAACTCTAAAACTGCTTTTTTCCTTCAGTTGCTGAAGAAATATTGAACAGAGGACAGAAAAAGTGATACCAGTAACAATTCCCAGCTTCTGTCTGCTGGTTTTTGACTGTTTTTGATTAGAAAAAGGACAAAATTCAACTTTAAAGCAGCTTTTTTTATCCGGTTGCCGTGGAGAACCAGGAAGAATGAGGGAAAGTTCGAGAGAGGAGGAAATAAAAGACACTTCGCAGCTTCTTTCTGCTCTAGTTGGAAACTTTCCAAACACAAACAAAGCACAAAAGTTTATCTAAACTGGTTTTAAGTTGCTGTAGGAAAAAATCCACCAACTTTTCCTGCTTTTTTTTAACTATTTCTGAATAGAAAAAGCACAGAAATTAACTTTAAAACAGCTTTTTTCCTCCAGTTTCTTAAGAGACTAAATTCAAGAGGAGAGAAAAGTTTAGAGAGACACTTCCCTGTTTCATTCTGCTAGTTTTAAACAATTTCTGAATAGAAAACGCACAGAAATCAACTTTAAACAGCTTTTTTTCCTCCATTTTCTGCAGAAAAAAGCCACCAACTTTTCTCTTAGCCTTCAAACCAACTCCTGATCCAGACCACCGGTCCATTTATCATGCGTCATTTCTCAGTTTATGTGTTTTTTATTTGAAAAAGGACAGAAATTAACTCTAAAACAGCTTTTTTCTCCGGTTGCTGTGGACTACTCTGAGGAATGAAGGAAATTTCGAGACAGGAGGAAAGAAAAGGCACTTTTCCTGCTTCTCTGAGCTAGTTTTAAACTATTTCTGAATAATAAAAAAACACAGAAATGAACTTTAAAAGAGCTTTTTGGCTCCAGTTGTTGGAGAGAGGAGAGAAAAGAAACTTTTCCTGCTTCTCTCTACTAGTTTTACATTATTTTCTATTTTAAAAAAGCACAGAAATTAACTTTAAAACTCTTTTTTTCCCTCCAGTTGTTTGAGAGACTAAATTCAAGAGAGAAAAGGTTAGAAAATACACTTTTCCTGCTTCTCTTTGCTAGTTTTAAACTTTTTCTGCTTTTAACAGCTTTTTTTCCTCCATTTGCTGCAGAAAAAAGCCACTAACTTTTCCTTTAGTCTGTAAACCGACTCCTGATCCACTGGTCCCTTTATCATGCGTCATTTCTAAGTTTATCACCTATTTGCTGTTTTTTATTTTAAAAAGGACAGAAATTCAAAATAGCTTTTTTATCCAGTTACTGGGGAGACTACTCAGAAGAATGAAGGAAACTTCGAGACAGGAGGAAAGAAAAGACACTTTTCCTGCTTCTTTATGCTAGTTTTAAACCATTTCTGAATAGAAAACGCACAAAAATTAACTTTAAAACAGCTTTTTTCTCTGGTTGCTGTGGACTACTCTGAGGAATGAAAGAAATTTCGAGACAGGAGGAAAGAAAAGGCACTTTTCCTGCTTCTCTGAGCTAGTTTTAAACCATTTCTGAATAGAAAAAAAAACACAGAAATGAACTTTAAACGAGCTTTTTGGCTCCAGTTGTTGGAGAGAGGAGAGAAAAGGTTAAAAAACACACTTTTCCTTCCTTTCTCTGCTAGATTTCCACTATTTCTGAATAGAAAACGCACAGAAATCAACTTTAAACTGCTTTTTTCCTCCTTTAGCCTGTAAACCGACTCCTGACCCAGACCACTGGTCCCTTTATCATGCGTCCTCTTTAATTTTTCACCTTTTTGCTGTTTCCTGCTCTAATCCTAATTCCTGATCCCCCCCTTTCTTACCTTGCAGCACTCATGGAACAAAGAGCTCAACCCTCCCACACAGAAACAGTCTCCGGTTGCGTCTGCTTCTGCCTCCTTTTTGGCTCTTTTAACCTCCTTTTAACCTCCTTTTAGCCTCCGTTAGCCCTCTTTAGCCTCCTTTAGCCCGCTCTGGCCCGCTTCGGCCCGGTTCCTGGCTCCTGTGGCCTCCTCCCGGAGCCTCTCGGGGCTTTGAACGCCTCACGGAGCTCATTAGCATCCGGCGGTCAGCTGCTAACGCCGCCAGCCAATGGGAGGCCGGGCAGAGGGGAGGGGGCGGGGCCAGAGAGGGGAGGGGGCGTGGCCAGCCCTGAGGGGGCGGGGCCAGAGAGGGGAAGGGAAAATATGCCTTTGGAGAGCCGTGATGGACCCCTGCTGGCTGCTACAGCCCAGAGAAGCTTAAAAAGAGGCTTTTTACACTGTTTTTATTTATAAAAATGACTCAAATTAACCTTAATGATGATTTTTTTACCGTTTGCTAGTGAGACTAAATTCAAAAAGACAAAAAAGGTTGAAAAAGAGACTTTTCCTGCTTTTCTTTGCTGGTTTTACACTGTTTTTATTTGTAAAAAGTGATCGGAATTAACTTTACAACGGATTTTTGTACCGTTTGATGGTGAAACTAAATTCAAGAGTACAGAAAAGGTTAGAAAGAGACTTTTCCTGCTTCTCATTGCTAGCTTTACACTGGTTTTATTTATAAAAATGACTCAAATTAACTTTAATGATGATTTGTTTACCGGTCAATGGTGAGACTAAACTAC